AGCTCCTGGGAAGCATGCAGCTTGTCCCCTGATTGGTCATGTGACGCTCCTTTGTAGTCATTCTCACTTGAGTGCAGATGTGCTGTGACTTTATCAAATACATTGACTGGTATATTGTTGCCTTATTCTGTGATCATGGGAAAAGAAGGCTCTTCTTCAAGGAAAAGGAACGTTTGCGCCAAATGTAGGAAAACCTTGTCTGCATTAGACCCTCATGAATCTTGCAGTTACTGCATTGGACTTTCTGGCAGGGAGAGCCATTGCAGCTTATGCCACAAAATGGACGACGATAGCTTTGCTAGCTATGGGAAGGTGGGAAGTAGACACCTTTCTGACCGGGATTCCAGACAGAATCCAGACAAATTTGGTCCCTCTTTGGCCAAGAAGATTTCCTGAATGAGATGATCCCTATAGTTTCATTAATCACTCAGCCTACCATTGCAACAGGCACCCAGATGTTACAAGCTGCTACACCGATGCAGCCAATAATTCCAGTGTCTTGGAACCATCGTTCCCAAGATACACAGTCGAATCCCAATGATGACGTTGATATGATAGTGCGGGCTATACTCCTAGCGTTGAAGAGTACTCAGCAGTCGCAACCTAAGTCTACGGATCAACGCCCCCAAGTCCAACCTCCAAGTTTGTCGCGCCGACCTTTGATGCCACGCCATATAACTCCTCCATCACCTACACTATCAGAACCTTTGAAACGTCAAAAACTGCAGGTTGAAGAATCAATGCGACGCAAACGACCGGTACACAATGTTCCAAAGAACCCTGATCTGAGGGAAGCATTGCGACGCAAAGGACAACCCTACAACAAACATTCGCGAAGCTGGAACTCAGCTCACAAAGTTGAGTCAAGTGAACAAAGACTGTCAGAGACTTTCACACGACTAGGATCTTCTGCTCTTAGTAGTTCCCATCCTAGATTCTCCAGTGGGTGGGAGAATTGGGGCATATGCGTACAACTGGACAGTTTGGGGAGACCTTTGATGCCTCGCCATACAACTCCTTCATCAACTACACTGTCGGAACCTTTGAAACGTCAAAAACTGCAGGTTGAAGAATCAATGCGATGCAAACGACCGACGCACAATGTTCCAAAGAACCCTGATCGGCGGGAAGCATTGCGACGCAAAGGACAACCCTACAACAAACATTCGCGAAGCTGGAACTCAGCTCACAAAGTTGAGTCAAGTGAACAAAGACTGTCAGAGACTTTCACATGACTAGGATCTCCTTTGATGCCTCGCCATACAACTCCTCCGAAGAACCCTGATCTGCAGGCAGCATTGCGACACAAAGGTTCTTTTCATCCCAGGACAAGAAGACAACCCTATGACAGAGTTTCGCGAAGCTCGAACTCAGCTCACAAAGGTGAGTCAAGTAAATAAAGAGTGTCAGAGACTTTTGCACAACTTGGATGCTCCACCCTTAGTCGTTCTGACACTAGATTCTCCAGTGGGTGGGAGAATTGGCGCATATGCGTACAACTGGACAGTTTGGGGAGACCCCTTCATCGTATCTAGTCAGCTTGGGCTACTAACTACCTATCATCAGATCTCTACCTTTGACAAACATGCCAATTCAACGAACCTATCCTTCAGCACAGGTATTAGCTCTTCAAGCCATTCTGAGTTTGTTACTACAGAAATGAGCAATCGAATCTCTCTTAGTACCTGGTAGTCCTGGTACCAAACAAAGATTCAGACAAACTTCAGCTGATATTCATCATGAAGATCTTCAATGCCACATATCTCGAACCTCCCCCACACTTGAGAATGTCCTCTGTTGCTCTGCTTCGAACGATCCTCAAACCATGAGACTTCATGATCAGTCTTGATCTACAAGATGTGTAAATGTTCTGATTTTCCCTGACCATCGGAAGTACCTGTGGTTCATGTTTCAAGGCATCCATTACCAATGGAAGGTCCTCCCATTTAGCATTTCTAAGGCTCTGTGGCTATTTACCCGCATCACGAAACCCATCGGGAAGTTTCTACATTGCCGGAGAATCGCCTTCGAGGCTTACATCAAAGATTTTGTAAAGGCCCACAGTAATCGACAGATCCTCCTACAACATCTACAATTCACTGCCAAGCTGCTTCACCAGCTAGTGTGGATTATCAACACCAAGAAGTCAGAGTTGATTCCAACTCAACGACCTCAGTTCATCAGGGCCATGTTCAACACTCATCTGGGGAAGCTGTTCGTTCCCAACGACAGATGGTCAAGATTCAACGCATAGTACCACTAGCGTTGGCTCAAGAGAGAACTCAGTGGCAGTGGCAATGGCAGGAGTTACTCGGTCTGCTAACATCAGCCCAAGCCCTCACAATCAGAGGTCAACAACAAATGCGCCCAAGCCAGAGATTTATACGTCTGGTCAATGGAGTGACGAAAGTAGCAGGATCGACGCATGGGGATCATCGATCCTACTACCTTCGTCACTCCATCAGTAGCTTCAATGGTGGCTCGACCCACTCATCACCTGTTCGTTGATGCATCACCTCAAGGATGGGGAGCTCATCTTCACAATCGTCAAGTGGCAGGGCTTTGGTCGTTCACCGACCAATCCCTACACATAAACAAACTTCAGTTCAAAACAGTTATCCTAGCCATACAACATTGGGCTAAGGATCTACAATCGACCGGTCTTCTCATACAATCAGACAACTCAACGGCAGTGTGGTACATCAATCATCTGGGTTCAACAAGATCGTCACACCTTCTAAATGGGGCGATGCACATCTTCCAACTGATAGACTCCCTGTCAAGTTCCGCAAGAGCCAGACACATACCGGGAGTAAAGAATGTCATTGCCGATGCTCTTTCTCGACCAGATCAGCCGTCTCCTATCTTCAGATCTGTTTGTCTCCCAATCACCAACCATCATATAGATCTATTTGCGAATAGGTTTAACTATCAGCTACCCAGATTTGTATCACCTATCCCTGGACACTCGCATGGGATCAAGGCGCTCTTGCAATCTCATGGGAGAACCTAATTGCTTATGCCTTTCCCAGATTGTTGCTGAATATATCTACAACATCTGAGAATGTCTAGGAAATTGAATGCGTACCCTTGCTACCTATTTAGTAGCTATCAACACTGTTGTAGCTACGCAACAGGAATTAAGATTTCCACTGTACCTGAACTCCAGTCCCTACTGCGTTCCTACAAGTTGTCTGATCAATCCAAGAAGTTTCCGACCTGGGACCTCTCCATCGTTCTACGACATCTCATCTCGGATGTTTATGAACCTCTACAGGAAAAGAACTTTGATCGCATTACCTTCAAGACTTTCTTCCTGGTACCGTTACCGACTGCTGCACGTATGTCAGAACTCCATGCCTAGGCAGTTTGAGAGGAAAAAGCATGGCAGAGTTATTTTCTGGGTCTTCATATTGAAAAATAACTGCCAAGACAACCGGATAGACACTGCTATACCGCTGTTGTCCATGATACTCAGGCCTGACAACATAGATCTCACTGTCCTGTCAAAGCTTTGAAGATGTACATAACTAACTTTCTTGCAAGATCGCAGGCTACATAAACGCCTGTTCATCCCGCTTTCAAAAGACTCCTAAGCAGAAGTCTCCTGTACTACATATCTTGCAAGCCTACACATTCGCCAGACTTCCCCCTCCAGCTGCATCGAACCCTCATGAGTATGGGGCCCAAGCATCAATGATGGCTATTCATTGCAACTGCTCTTTAACATCGATTATGGAGGGATGTTTTTTGGAGGTTGGAGATGGTCTTTGCTTCCCACTACCTACGCGACCTATCAGTTCTGGACGTTGAAGGACTTCATCAGCAACACTCTGGGTCATCACACTGCAATCACAACAGGGCGGTTAGGTCATAGACAGTTTCGAAGCAGGGGTTGAAAGATGGTGGATTCTGGGGTACTTTTCAAATCGTCACGAAGCAGGAGTACCTGTCTGAGTTCCATCATTTGTATTGACAACTGATAGGGCAAAAAACACGTAAACTCGGGATCGCCAAAACCCTGGGAGTTTTGTGCTAAGGGGTTTTCCATGGAGCAACCGTCACAAGTGAGCTTATGCAAGTTAATGGAAGATTGCATTCAAGCTGGCCTCCTTGTGTTACATCACCATTATCATCACGGTTGTCATCTATCAACATAGAAGCAGGGTAATCAACCGTCCAACCATGGGATAAGTACAATACGTGATGTAGGATAAGTTTAAAAATTTGAAAATTTGAACTATAAATTGTATATAATACTTTTCCTATCTCACGTGATGGATTCCCACCCGACCAACAACACTACACAGATTACTACTATCTGCTCCAATTCGAGAATGACTATGAAGGAGCGTCACATGACCAATCAGGGGACAATCTGCACGCTTCCCAAGAGCTGCCTCAGCTGTCCAGACCTGATAGGGAGGCAGGGGTGTGTTTGGGGCAGCTGTTCAGAGAGGCATAAAAACTTTGTTACAGTTCGTTTCCACTCAACTGTCGAACCTAAGAGAGAGAGTACAATACGTGAGATAGGATAAGTTTTATAAATATACAATTTATAGTTAAAATTTTCAATTTTACAGACCATCACCCTTGTCAGTTACAGGTCAAAAGGGTAATGTTGCTGACAGTAGTTTAAAATAACAACAACTTAATTTATAGGCATACACTTTTGAAGACATGAAAATTATTTTCATTTGTGTGTTTTAGTCAAGATCACTGAGAAATGTTAAACATGGTTTCAGTTTGTTCAGAGACAGTGGAAACTATTCAATTTTCTAAATTTAATAAATGAACAATTTCATTTCTCTTAAAAAGGTTTCCAAGCAGCAAAGTTGTTTAAAGAAAAGCGATTGTTTTGTTGAAGATATGGGTAACTTTTTTTTTTACAAGGAGTGAACTAAGCCCAACTCACTCACTCACTCACTCACTCACTCCCAGGTGAATGTCCAACAGCAAGTTGCCCTTCTGTCTGACATGTGTTGTTGTGTATGTTTCAGGTCCCATAGACTTCAGTAACAAACACTTGTCAAGTAGTCATCCAGACCCCACACCTTCAGGTCTACCCGTCCACCCTGATGTGCGATTCAAGCACCTGCCTTTCTATGACGTCCTTGCTGAACTGATGAAGCCAACTAGTCTAGGTAAGTTGAAGGCATCATTGTAGCCATGACTGCTGCAGACAGAAGAATGTATACAGTGGCTCAGTCACTAAATACTAAATACTCAATGTCTTATCAAATATATGTGGCCATGAGACTTTGACCCAAAAAGGCTTGAGTTGAGATAAATCAATGATGCGTAAAAATGTAATATCTGGAAATGTTAAATTGTGTCAGGCGATACATCAAGACAGTTTCAGTTTGCCTGCTTTCAGTGTATTGTGCTCTTGCAGTCCATATTGTCGATGGCAATTCATACATTTTTATGAGTCTCAATGTGTTAAGAAAACACAAAATAAAGTTTTAACAGTTGTTGGATTAGTTAATCATTATCCCATATCTAGATGAGGATATATTTCTTTAAATTTGTTGTTGTGAATGTGTGAAATCTTTTAACAGTTCCAAAGAACAATGGCAGATTCCAAGAGTCCTTCTTTGTCTTTCACCTGACACCTCAGCAAGCACAAGATATTGCCATGTCAAGGTAAGTGGATACATAACTTAGAGTCTTAACAAGGTGGGCTGGGCCTGAAACTGATGGAATATGCATCTTGACCAGAGTTGATGTGGACATGATTCTGATGGAATATGTTAAAGGGGGAAGGATGTAAATGTAATGGAGTAGCATGAACATCTGTGATCTGTTTTGAGATGGAGTAGCCAGAAGATATGTAGGATTGACCGGCAACAGATTAGGAGTCATGACAGTCACAGGACGGAGGTGATAAATGTCACCTGTTCTATTCATTTTTGACTGTCTGGTTACTTTGCTAGGTTTTACCTTGACACAAGAACATGGAGGTCCCGTGGACCCCTAATTATTAGTTTTAAGGGTCTTTGAGGGTCCTGTAAAGTAACTGTGTAGAGGGTAATCATGTGTTTGATAATTTCTTTAGAGGCTGGAATGAATCATTGAGCATGTGGACTGATGTATGAATGATACACATAACTGCTCAGAAACAAACAGCCAACCAATTTACAAAGTCCTAGATGTGTTGTGGGTACAATGAATAATATTGTGCGTCCCTGTGGATGCAGTGAATGATTTTTCTGAGTCCATTATCTACATTTGTGTGTACTGGAAGCACATTTGTGCATCGCTTAAAACCCTGCTTTGTGTTTACACAGGTATTTTGGGTGAAAAGCATTACAGAGTGTCAGGCAACCTCCTGGAATCAAGTTTCCAATGAGGCAGAAAGGTTTTGACTAGCATGCTCCAGTCACATGCACCCACGTGACAGCATCTGTTTATAGATGGCTATTCCCTCGAACCCACTTTTATTGAATTGATTTTCTCTAATTTTATGACACTATGCATCATTAATGTCCAGTATATCTAAATGACTATGTTCTCATTATAGGGATTTCCGGCCTGGGGCCAAGTGTGAATATACAGTCCAAGTACAGCTCAGGTAGGTCTGGAACTATTTGGTGTCAGTTACCATTGCTTGTTCAGTCTCCCGAATGGCTCCTATGTAAATATGATGATATTTGTTGCAGGTTTTGTTTGCTAGAAACAAGTTGTGAACAAGAGGACAATTTCCCTCCTAGCATCTGTGAGCGGGTCAATGGAAAAATGGCACCATTGCCTGTGAGTTTTTCTTGGCTTTTCAGAGAAATATTTCTAATTGTTAAATATTGTTGTGAACTGCATTTTCATTTTTAAAGTGAGTCAAATTCATGGCTCCAAGAAACATTATTAAACAAAGAAAAAACAAACAATGAATTCTTAAACTGATAAATAACTCAAATAATTTTAATACCAATTCTGATTTTGTCCTTACAATTTTGTGGTGTCAGCTCTATCTGATTGATTGCCTCCTCTGGTATTCCCATGTTGCTGGTGTAGAATATACCTGGGTAAAGTGTGTTACACATTCACTTCCTGAAAAGGTTACACAACTTGTGATACCAGAAAGATGCAGATGGTTTGTGCTATCACACTAGTGCTGATTCATATATGTTTTTTACATTGTTTGATCAACATTTGCTACTTTTCAGAATCCCATTCCCACAAGTAAACCAGGTATAGAACCCAAACGACCGGGCAGGTCAGTCGACATAACCTCCATATGTCGCTTATCACCAACCGTATCTAATCAGTTGGATGTTTCATGGGCCTCCGAGTTTGGACGGGTACGTCATGTCGTATGTCCTAGTGTAGTACACAGCTGTCCCACAACTGTACTTCTCTTTCAGATAATCACCAATAGAAGCAAACCATGTGTGGCGCGCCCACTGGACATTTCTTTTCTCACATCCAAAATAGAGAATATAACACAACAACTTCACTTGTCATGGTCGGTAGAAAATGAAAACGGGGGTGGTAGGTATATAGGAAAATGAAAACTCACGGCACAGTTGAGCATTGTTCCTTAACACCCCAGACTATAACTAGTCACCGACAAATGTTACATTGTTCCACCTCACTGCTACTAACTGTTGACACAACAATCATCCGAAAAACCTCAGAAATGTCCTCAAATGTTTAATCTCCAGGGTTCTTTATAAGTTAGTTATGTCATTCTCACTAAACACTTTAGTAATTTTCCTATTATATGTATGTAAAGATACTTGTTTAACTGTTTTGATGACAAGATGTTCGAGCTTAATCACTGCATTGAAGATATAACCAGTGGATAAATAATATTTATTCTGATAATACAGAGTTGCATAAAAGCTTTTTAAAGAGCTATTTTGAAGTTTTATGTATTTCAAAGTAAGACAAAGATCTAAAGAACCATGAACCTTTTTAATAATTTGATCTAGGATATTTTATTATCTGAATGCTTTCCTATGTTTGTTGTTTGTTGATGTGTACAAATGGAATTATGTCTGGCATGGCACAGTTGTTGACCTTATTTGACATTCTGTTTTTGTTATATTTCTGGGTGATGGGAATCTCATTAACGGAGCAAAGGTGCTTGGTGCCAAGACACCTTTTCCTTCAGAAATAAAAAGTTCCTATGCATGACTTGATTTCAACTGATAGAAGAACAACAGAAAATCATTATTGATGATTATGACACTCTTGGAGATAGAAAAAGAAATATGTTAATCACTCTAGACAAATTTTTTAATAGTATTTTGACAAATCTCTTCTTTGTTTTTGTTTTTTTAAAAGCTGTGTTTAGCCACATTTTAGCCAGTTCTAATACTGTGGAAATGTAACAATGTCCATGATGCAAACATATATATGTATGTGGATGATAGTAAATGTTCTATACAATTTACGCAGTGTTCCATAGTGGAACTTCATGTCCAGAGTTTCAGGTTGTGGATTTATTTTCTAGATTTACCCCAGTAGTGGGCATTGATCTTGAATGCCCATGGGATTCGCAAAGGTTGAAGCATCTGATGCCTGGGACCTAGGGAAATACTCTGCATGCCTTGTTAAAACTGTTCAGGGGGCATTATACCTAATTACTAGAATTGTATACCCCACAGACCTGCTTCCATATACCTTGTTCTACATCTTATGCATTCGTTGTTTGTTTCAGGGCTACTGTCTGGCTATTTACTTGGTGCGGAGACTCACATCAGATATATTGTTACAGAGGTTAAAACAGTTTGGAAATCGACATCCAGATCATACAAGAGCGCGCTTAGTAAGTTCCTTTCTGGAAACAAACACTGAAACTCCTTTGAGTAATTGGGTGATTACCTAAAGTACTTGGGGATATTTCCAAGAGCTGTCAGTTTTCAATCAATATAGCTCCTATCTTCCTCTCCCATCTACAATGACTGTTGAACATGTTGGATCCAAGAATTACTGTTTATGTGATGCGTGAAATCATGATAATGTGCCTCTGATTCACATGTATATTAGTATTCAGCTTTACCTCTTCACAATAATGACATAATCTGGCAATACAGAGAATATAGTCTGTATAGTGGATATGGTTGATATCATATTTTTCTCCTTTAATTCCTCCCAACTTGTTATCATGGAACAAAATCACTATGTGTTAACAGCATTATTGCAGATATATCAAGTTGTCACATACCAAGCGTAGAATATATTACATTTTGTAACTTGTTTCTTTCAGTCAAAGAAAAATTAGCGCATGATCCAGACAGTGAAATAGCAACCACAAGTCTACGAGTATCTCTGGTCTGTCCTGTAAGTATTCACACTGAGATGATGTAAGACACCTGTCAGTAGTCTTTGGTTGTACACCCTGGCATTGACAGAACACTTCAAGATGTTCCCCCTTATATACATTCCTTTCCCCTTCATGGATGATCATTGAAGCGACCTGGTCTTAGTCCACCCCTGTTAGACTTCTAGGTTCGAATTGGTGTCCAGCAACTTATGAAGAGGGCGTCAGGCTGTATCAGGTTGTCAGACTCAGTGCCTTACTTGCCTGCAATGTCAATCAGTGGATTGTCTGATCTTAACATAACTTCCCCCACAGGGCATCATAATACTGAGTGTGGCATCAAACCACATTCACATGCACATTTTGTGAGAGATTGATGTTATTGAATGCATTGGGATAGTAGGAATAGCTCGCCTATATTTTACATCATTATTCAGTTGTGTAGGGTCCCATGCTAGGTGCCTTAGTTGTCTCTTGGATGACATTAACTGATTGTGTTGATTCCAGTTGGGCAAGATGCGCATGCAGATTCCATGTCGAGCAAGTACGTGCACTCACCTCCAGTGTTTTGATGCCACAACGTTCCTCATGATGAATGAGAAGAAGCCGACATGGGTGTGCCCTGTGTGTGATAAACCTGCTCCTTTTGACAAGCTATTGATAGATGGGTATGTATGAAGTACCTGCTAGCTTCTGTAGGGAGTGTTTGCAACACAAAAGAAGAATCGTTCTTTGTTTCAGAGTAGAGTAAATGTGACGAATTCCTAACTGCAGTGTCAGGAGCAGGACATAGGGAAATTATTGTGATTTTTAAACTTTTACCTGAGGCTGTGGAGTAGCCTAGTGGTTAAGGCTTTGGCTCGTCACGCCGAAGGCCCCGGTTTGATTCCCCACATGGGTATAATGTGTGAAGCCCATTTCTGGTATCCCCTGCCGTGATATTGCTGGAATATTGCCAAAAGCGGCGTTAAACCATACTCACTAAACTAAAATATATTACCACAAATGACTTACTACCACAGTGCATTACAAGAATAGTGTGAAAATTAATTTGGTACACCAATTATTGATTGCCTGTTTCAGGGTCCCAACCTGTGTGGTTGATGACTTTCCATCATGTTACATATTAAGCTCATATGATAATTCATTTTTGAATCTAATTCACTGAGGTTTCAGGGCCTGTAAGTATTTCAGAGTACAGTAACAAATCAATTTGGCTTCTCTCATTCACCTTCAAATCATTGCTTGATTTTCAGTTGATTATCTATTGCTTTTTTGAAGTCAGTGATAATCATTGATATTGCCTCCAATTCTGATTTGACATGACACAAATTTGTTGTTACATTAATCTTGTAAAATTACCTTTGCTTTGATGATGTGGAAATCTTCAATGAACTTTGAACTGTTGTAGGTATTTTGTGGAGATCTTCCGGAAGTCCCCAGAGGGAAGTGAGATTCAGTTCCATGAGGATGGCAGCTGGAGCCCCATGAAGCACAGCAAGGAAACACATGTGATATCTAGTCCCTCAGTGAAAGCCTCAAGTTCCACGTCAGCTGCATCAGCCTCAACTGCCCCCTCATCAGACAAAGGTAACCCTTCGTGCACTAGAAATAGATTCTCTCTGTATATAGGTAAAATGATCTGCGTACAAGTTAAGACTAAGTAGGTGCGAAGATTATCTGTTAAACATTTGAAACTGGATTTGGCCTTCCCGCTCCCATCTTCACTGTGGTTGTCATCATAAGTGTGAATGTTTCTGGGGCATTGAATTATTTGGGATATGGTGTAGATTTGTGTCGACACAGCAAGAAAACATATTGATGACATGTATTGACATCCTTGTAATACTTGAAACATCATTTGATGCACATGGAAGTGTGTATTGCAAACCTGCACAGGTAAGCACTGGTTAGTCTTTTAGCCATTGGTTTGACAATTTAGAAGGACACTGTGATATAACTTGAAAATTGGCTGATATTTCATTTGTAGTAATTCGTAACTTTGAATATTAATGTCATTTATTTTTTTTCTCTTTGTAGGTTCATCCAAAAAGAAATCTGTCGAAATTATTGACCTTACGATTGACAGTTCAGATGATGATCAATCATCGCCCCCAGCATCCGTGTCCAGCAGTCGACCGTCAGAACAAGGGTGTGTGAGTCCCCCCGTTATAAACCTGGACACACCGACGCCCCCACATGCGAGCTCCACACACTCTGTATCTAGCAGCCCTTCAGGGGTGGCGCTATCCACAACTCAGTCAAACCCCCAGTCCCCCCTTACCTCACCCCAACCTTCCCCTTCCCCCAACTCAGTTGCCTCCTTCTCATCTGTTGAGTCACCTTCGGCAGCAAATGTCATGAGTTTTATGCCCTCTGTTCCTCCACTCCTCCCAACCAACAGCATGCTGCCTAATTCCTCTCCTTCCCTCCTGCCCCCACCCCTTGCCCCGTCAATTCCTGCTCCTCCTATCCCCCAGCACCGTCCTCCCTCCCTAATACCATCATCTCAGACGCAAGGGCCAAGTCACAATCAGTACGGGACACTTAATCTTGATGCATTATCGGATCGTGAGTTTGAGGAGTTTCTTCAGGGTTTATCTTGGTGAAACGGCAACCCACAAAAACAACAAACTCAGGTTATCACTCTGCTTGAGTATCAGTTCACACGCTTCCAAGTAAGACAGCTGTCTGTGTGTGTGCAAGCTGGTATCATTTGGCGTATTTATTTTGAATGCAAGTGTTTTATAAGGAACATTCAGAACATCTCAATCCATGATTCCAGTACAAGCCTCTCCTACTTTTATTTTCGTCACAGATAAACAACTTCGATATTACGCAATATTTTGTCCTATTATTCATCAAAGGCAGCACATTAACAAAGCCAAAACATATCTGTATTAAAGATTACAAGACATTTACTTTGACCTGCTATTAACCTGTGACTGGTAGAACCTTTGGCATGAAATTGTACTCATAGATCTGAATTAATTCTTAATGATATGTCTGTTGCATTTGATCAGAGCAGTGTTCAGGTGACCTCTCTGCTATGCTTGGTGCTGTAATAACATAGCAGGGGGCCACTGTTGGCCCAGCTAATGAGATACCTGGAGATGTTTTTCAATTTGCCTGATGGAGGTCAAGGGGGATGCTTCTCAAAAACTGCACATTTGGACTGGGTCCTGGGGCCCTTGACAAATGTGTAGTTGCATAAAGAACTGTACATTTCTGATATATTTTTAAAAATTAAAACACTTTACTCCACATTCATGTGTATTAAATTTGAACTTATTTCAGTATTTCAGATCTGAAAATGAAAATTCTAATTGCAATGAATTTCTACAAATCTGTATATACCTTGACAAATATCAAATCTGTTTTATGGTTGTGCAAATATTTTTTACAATTTAAAAACACTTACCCCTTACCCCAGCAAGACCATAGTATAATAACCTTCATGACCTGACTTTCTTTTGCATTTGTGGGTCTGTATCTCCCCTAAAACATAAACAGCTGTTTCGAATCATTGACAGCCATGTTCATTCTCCAATATCATATCCCACCCCCTATCAAAACTTCACCCATCACCCAACTTTGGCCCCAAACACACCCCTATCTTTACCCTCTTCCCTCTCACATTAATTTTCAGATATTGCAAGTGCTTAGTGTGTGTTCTTGTGCCATCATGTTTATGATATACATATGAGATCAGTAATATTCAGTGTTGTCAACATTATGGGCTACCTTTACCCGACTCACCAACCCACCCATTTATTGTCAGCAAATTGGTTTCCAAAGCTTGACAGCAAAAGTGCTAAAAATTACATTCAAACACACAACTTCCAGTTTCATGAACCCCTTAACTGCATACTACAATGGAAGTTCACTGTCTATGAAAGACAAATAGAACTGCTACATACTGCCAGAGATAAATATTATTTGATAGCCTGTTGTTCGTCGTATTGTACTAATGTAGGTACGATTGCAATATAGAGTACTATATTTATGTTTTATGTGAACACTTAGTACGTTGAATTGCCAAGTGTCTAAATGTTTTATTAGTGTATGTTGATTTCCTCTGTTAAGCACATGCAAGTGGGGTTTTTTTAATGTGTAGAAATGTACATACTGGTTGACTATGTGGACTGTACATACTAGTGGAGGCATTCAAACCTAGAATATTCACACATCTTATTGTTAATGATGACATACATGGCCAATACAGGATGTTGTATCACAACGGTTATCTTTTACACCATATTTCACACGAATAAAGGATGACTTAAAAAGCTTTTGGAAAAGCAGGACTTTTACACAGCAATAACCATTTTTTTCTCAGTTATAGTGACAAAAACTCATAACATCAATTGGGATTATCCTTCATTGCAAAAACTGACGTGTCTGGAGTGTGGCTTGATACTCAAGATATGTTTCATAGTTTGATGCATTGTATTATCGGAGGATACATGTGAGAGCAGGATGGAGACTTCATCCGGGAATGAACACAAAGCCATGTTTAGTGCTTCTGTTTTGGTAATTGTTGAAGGGTGATGTTTATGTTCTTCTTCAGTGGCAGCAGCAGACAAATGGCTGTTCTCTTGCTTCTATTGTGCAGAGTCTCCCCCTGCTCCCACCTGCATGCATTGTTAGCCACGTGTATGTTCACACTCAACTGCATCAATTATTTTCATGTGTCTCAGCTAAAGAGATTATGTACATAGTGTCAGATATTTATGTTGGGGCGAATGTTCGGCTTCAAATTTGAAATCTGCATTGTAGATAGCAAATCTCTGCATCTCAACATCATCTCAACTTTAACATGGCATTTTTCATGGGCTCAACAATACTTCACAGGTATGCATTCTTTCTAATTTGAGCAAAAACATTCCTGTGATACCTTTTCGACAAAATTACCAAAACTGCCCAGATCAAAGACATCAGTTCCAATTTAAGGACAGATGCCATCTTGAGAATTTTCAGTTTCGTCAAAACAATCCAGTTCTCATGAAGTTGGTGCAGGAAGTTTGTGATGATGTTAGGAATAGTTCTAGCTTGCATTTTGTGCTCTTGTAAAAGACGCTGCTTTTTGCTTGTTGTCCATTAATCACTAGGAAGACTATTTTCTGTGTACATTTCTTACTGTACATAATCTCTTGCCTATGACATCCACTGGTCATTTATGTCGGCTCAAACCAACTCATTTCTCTTTGTCAAATCAGTTGGTAAAGGGCTATAACAGACTTGTACAAAGTGTAATTAAAGTTATCATTAAAACAGATCCTTCATTGTCTGTTGTCCTTTCCAAGCGTCTTTTATTTGGGCACAAGATCTAGCTAGTTCTGTGAAGGAGGTGGAATAGCCAAGACAAATATGTGTTGTGGTTGTATCAGCGTGGTGTAAGGCACTGTTGCAGCTCACACGTCACCAAGGAACCATCCAGTGCCAGTTGTTTAATCTCTGCAGGACAGGTGAACTTAGTTTATGTTTCTGTTTACTGTACCTTCGCAATAGTCTGGTGGTATTACACAAACTTAACCAGTTTATAAAAATAATTGAGGTTTCTCGCACAAATCACACATTAAACATCCATATAGTGAATATTTGCTTTAAAGGTTATTGGAGTTGATGAACCACACATGAACACTGTTTCAGTGCAGGTTTTACATTTGTTGTGAATTTACAAATACAGTGAAACAGCCTTTTTCTCTGTGAAGTCCTCTTGATTCCTGACACATGAACACAGATATGTGATTGTTCGAAGTAGGAAATAAGGTAGAGTTCCTAGATGAAAGGTTGTGGACTATCAAGGTTTGACTGTTCACTGAACAAAGGTTAGATCCACAGCATGTTCTGACTCAATGGAAACTCATTATGAAAACAGATTTGAAATACAAAATGAGTATTCCTGTACTCATGTACATCTTCAAACACCTCCGATGAGATATGAACCGGTTATATGATCCGGAAAACATCAACATCCAGAGCAACAACATTGAATGTGTTTTCAGAGTCTTTCTGTAGAGATACAACACACACGTTTGCTTCATCTGTTCAAGAAATTCATCACCAAAGTAACAGTAAAGACATGGGGCTACACAGCTGAAAATAACCCTGCCGTTTCAATCAAGGAAATATATTTTGTCCCCCAATGTGCAATGCAAGAGTGTATATCAATCAGCTCTGTCTGTCTATACTCAATTTTGTCTGGCTCTCGTTCTAAAACAAATGATATTCTTTCCTGAAACTTTGTGCACACAAAAACCTGGTTGATAAAGTGTTGCTATGTCAGATTGTTAGATTTAGATTTTGATTCTGTTGCTGGTGGTCTGTTTTGGCCATATTTCTGACACGAATACCTATTTTTTCATGGGAGTTTGTAAGGAAATCAGAAGTGCTTTGAATTTGGACAGACCTGTTTGTGAGGCCATGTTTCATTTAATTGTCAACCGAAGGCCAACAGAAATGTCAAACACTGAAGAGCATTCTCCTTTCCGTGCGGCCTGAGCCTTTTGATAATCATCACAATTTGATTTGGGCCACTGCCATGTTACTGGTACACTCTTACATGTCTCACATGTCGGTCGTTAAAAACTGTAACTGCTAGTGGACTGAGGTGTATCAGTAGTCACCAGTGTGCTCCACCGTTCGACCATTTAGGTATATTTTTGTGATTTGTAGTCCTGTTTTACAACTGACAAATTCCAATGTTTGTGGACAGGTTAGATAACAAGGTCAGCTCTGCCAGATCAGATGGATGTGAAAACCTTAGATGGCTGGTACCATGTGTGTTCAAGTGATAAATGTTGACGTAAACGTTTCATTGCATTCAGGAAACTATATGATCCAACCCTTTCCAAAATCAACATGTACAAATCAAGCAACTTGAAAAAAACACCCAGTGAAACTTGTGGCCAATTGAGCTGTTAATAACTTCTCAATTGGGACAGCAGTAAGACGATAGCTTTCATCTTGTCCAACCCTAAACAAATGAGATCATAGATCTCACTACCGCATAACATAGATCTGCAAACAACAAATTACAAGTCACTTATTATCCAAGCAATCAGAGTGTCACTAACCTGATATGGAAAGTGACGGTCTGAATGCGTCTTTTAATTGTACAAGGTTAGCATGGGGTGGTTCAGATGTCCAGTGACTTCATCTACCTTTCACTGCAAGTGGATAAACTTAAGAAATGGAAGAGACTTTTCATATCCTGAAGGAAGTGCTTGGCTATCTGGAAGATTTTGCAGAATTTACTTTTGTTTGATTTTCAAATTTTAAATAGATATTCTTCAACGTTTAGTCTGAAGGTCACCAGTTTTGAGCTAATTCTGTAAAGCTTGAGAAACAGCTCTCTGATTGGCCAATGTCAATTTCGTGGTAGTCATTAATTGGTCGGTCAAAGCTCGCGGATGTTTCATAGGATCTGAATGTGGCGATACGGAGCACTAACATCTAAGTACATCAAGATTTGATTTGGACCTCCACTGAATCAGGATTCAACACAGCCATAGGTTCTCCAGATATTCTTTCGAGGTTTCATAAATGTTACCACACCACTCAGAATAGGTTCAACGGAAGTGCTAACTGTCTAGCCCTGCTCACTTAGAGTTCCAGTAAAATACTTCATTGTACCCATTCATACATGAAAGAACATTATCTTTGAAAACAGCTTGAATGTACCATTTCTGACCATGGCAGATAAACAGCTGTCATCCTACATTTTGACTTAAATATACATATGGCTAAGTATTTGTTTTGAAGATGACAGAGTACACAGTTAGTTGTGATGACCTAATTGTATGATACCTTGCGTGTATACCTATTGCAGAGCTCGGGCCAGGTGTTACCAGCAGCGTGGTGCATCCCAGGAGCACAGTGAAATACGCATAGAGTAGTAATCCTATCTTTGCACTTGATGAGTCTTGCTGTTGGTATTGGGATTGTGTTTGATAATGTCTGTGATGCATTTACAGAATAGGCCCTCTGAACACTTGTTCAGTTTCGTTTGAGAAACATGTTTTGGGTATATTCCCATATTTGATAAACTGTGGATAGTGTATGATTTTTTTTGTAAACACATCACATTCACAACTTGTTGATGAGATTTTTTAAAGCACCTGTTCATACTGACTTTTTTGTTTTAACAGAACTCCCTCGACCTCCCCCTCACTCTCTAACATGAGCACCCCTAACAACCTGGGATCTCCACCACACATAGGCTCCCCCAGGATACTGGAGTCACCGCGGGGCATATGCTCCCCACCCCTCAGCTCACCAAAACTGGACACCTTGTGTCGACTGCGATCACAATCCTCCCTCTTGAGCTCAGCATCGCTGTTTGATTATCATTCTAGACTGCGGTCACCAAACAACATTGCCTCACCACCAAAACTGGAATCTCATCTGCAGTCACCAATACATTTTGGCACGACAGTTAAACATGAATCTCTTGAGAGTCTCTCCTCTTCTCCTTGTAAAAGAGAGTCTCCGACAAAAATATCCTCACCACCTGCCAAACAACGGTCACCTGTACCAAGACCATTACCTACTCACCTTCCAACAGCGAAAATGTATCCCCCGTTTGGCTACGTCCATCCCATGATGACATCGCCCCTGAGTATGATGGCGGCTGTGCCAATGTCATCATGTCTGACGATACCCAGACCAGCTCCATTGTCTCTTGCATCAGGTCTCAACAGGAATGGGGTCTCAAATTTTCATCCCTTTGCAAATGTGCCTTCATTTGGTAAGTTAGAACCTTCAGTACGAGATACTTAGATCCAATATGGAACAAGTTTTTATGGATAACAACTTCTTTATTTCGTGAGTGCGACGTTTCGATACAGATTCAAATTCTTGTACCGTTGTCAAGCAAGAGAAGTTGTTATCCATTAAAACTTGTATTGTACGTCTCAACTTCTAAAATACCACTCAAACAAGATACTTAGATCCATCTAGCGTCGGTGAACGTTTGTTTTGATAGTCCAGCCGCCCCATGAATAAGTCAGTGTACATTATGTTGAGGGGCTGTCTCCAGTGCACAGCCTTATCACACATGCAGGACATCAATACAAAGTAGCCCCTCCAACACAGTTACCTTGTTCCTTTATGCTGTTCTAGTTCATCTGCAACAATTCAACCAGGCTCATCAGTGAAACAGTTTTACAACTGAAATACATTTCACCCAGACTTCCAAGAATCTGTGAACTAAGTAAAGAATCGTTTGGGGGGATTTACTTCAGGATTAAATATCTGAAGTTATTTGAAGTTCACTTACATTTCTCGTGAAGTTTTCAATCAGGACAGTAAACTAAGGGAAAAATTAAGATAAGATTTTCTGTTTGTCAAAAGAACATACTTTTGGAAGTGTCAAAATGAGCTTGGATATTTGAAGTGTTGAAGTTATTCTTGTTTCCTTGTTTTCTTGTTGACTTATGACCTTGAGAACACAATCCAGTCACTTTCCAGGTCCGAACTGACATGACACAGGGAGTTATCTTGTGACATGTTCAAATCTTGAAATTATAAGAATAATATCCATAGTTCAAATCATAAATCATGATCATAACATTACCATAGTATGGAATCACAGACATTGCTTGTGTTTGACCAGTTGACCATACCAAAACAGTGTTTTCTCAGAAAACAGTAAATGTGCTTTAAGTTAATCACATCAAGTTAACTTATTGTGAATCATGTCAAGTCTTCTTTCTTGGTGTTAGTGCATGGATTGTATGTTCTTCTGTTGCATCCAACTTACAGGATAAGTTGTTGAACGCTTCAGTTTGTATTCCCTTTCCCATCTACTGTATATAGCATAAAATATTGTTTTGTTCTATTTAGTTGAGGATTTACGCTGTTGGTGAAAACAAAGAGTAGTACTAAAGCAAATATTGCTGTATTCACTTATGGAGAAAAATGAGAGAGAAAAAATAAGCCTTGATAATAAGAGGATTTTATGTCCATCAAACAAGTTCTAATCTCCATCAGTCTCTAGATAGCCCAGGTAGGGTTGGTTGTATGTCCTTCTGATATAAGATTTATAAGTAGTTTCTGCTATGGGTAAAGTAAAGGGTATAGGATTATAGTTTGGGGTACAACGAATATTTCCCTGTATTTGTTGTTGATCCAATAAGTTTATTATTCCTTTGCATACTCATTAGGTGATTTGACATTGAACATTTTTGTGGTTAATGTAGTTTTTGTTTGTATCAGATGATGACCTCTTGCCAATCCTAGCATCAGATGAGGAGGTCGGTGTAAGTATGACCT